GTTAGAGAAGATTCAGCGGTATGCCACCAGGCTCGTCCCGGAACTGAGAGGATTGAGCTACGAGGAAAGGCTAAAGGAGCTGAACCTCACATCCCTGGAAAACAGAAGAGTAAGGGGAGACATGATAACCACCTACAAAATTCTCAGGGGAATTGACAGGGTGGACAAAGACAAACTCTTCAGCACGGGTGGGACACGAACAAGGGGACACAGGTGGAAACTTAGTACCCAGATGAGCCACAGAGACGTTAGAAAGAATTTTTTCAGTGTCAGAGTAGTTAATAAATGGAATGCACTAGGAAGTGATGTGGTGGAGGCTGACTCCATACACAGTTTCAAATGTAGGTATGATAGAGCCCAGTAGGCTCAGGAATCTGTACACCAGTTGATTGACAGTTGAGAGGCGGGACCAAAGAGCCAAAGCTCAACCCCCGCAAGCACAATTAGGTGAGTACAATTAGGTGAGTACTTGACAACACTGTTTAGGCCAACTAAACTCACGGTATCGTCGACTGGTCCACGTGTCGTTGAGGTGCGGTGCGTAGCGGGATATTTCGAGTGCGGCGGTCCGTGGCGGGAACAGAGTGAGGGCAGGACCCCGATTGATGATTGATAAAGATTAAGCCACCCAAAAGGTGGCACGGGCATGAATAGCCCGTAAGTGGTGGCCCTTTTGAGCCATTACCAGTATCAATAGATGATACTGGAGATCTGTGGAGGTGCGACTGCACCCTGCGTGACGGGAGATGCCTCCCGTCGGTTAATGTTTGAAGATGAAGATGAAGATTAAGCCACCCAAAAGGTGGCACGGGCATGAATAGCCCGTAAGTGGTGGCCATTTTAAGCCATTACCAGTATCAAGAGCTGATACTGGAGATCTGTGGAGGTGCGAATGCACCCTGCATGATGGGAGATGTCTCCCCTGTGAATGTGTTAAGATGAAGATGAAGCCACCCAATAGGTGGCACGGGCATGAATTGGTAAGTGGTGGCCCTTTTGAGCCATCACCAGTATCAATAGATGATACTGGAGATCTGTGGAGGTGCGTCTGCACCCAGCGTGACGGGAGATGTCTCCCGTGTTTTAAACAGATGAAGATGAAGCCACCCAAAAGATGGCACGGGCATGAATAGCTCGTAAGTGGTGGCCCTTTCGAGCCATCACCAGTATCAAGAGCTGATACTGGAGATCTGTGGAGGTGCAAGTGCACTCTGCGTGACGGGAGATGTCTCCCATGAATGTGTCCAAGATGACGATTAAACCATCGAAAAGGTGGCACGGGCATGAATAGCCCGTAAGTGGTGGCCCTTTTGAGCCACCAGTATCAAGAGCTGATACTGGAGATCTGTGGAGGTGCAACTGCACCCTGCGTGACGGGAGATGTCTCCCGGACCAAGTGTGTGGGCAGGACCCCTCATCCCCCGGCTATTTATATGACACCCAGTACCGCCTGCACTGTGCCTGCGGATCGCGCTGTGCAATTGTCTCTTTTTTCCCTATCAGAAGCATCACCGCTTTTCTGCAAAAAGCAGTGGCCATTTCCTTTCATTCCCTGGGAGGGGGCGTTATGTAGGGAATAGATTATGCCAATAATATACTCGCTCCAAACTCTCAGTAGCTTAATGAGAGTAGCACAACTCTCATTAGCACTAATGACGAAACTCAAACCTTTTCCCTAATTACAGTTAACATTCCTTCCAACCTTTGGAGGACGATGAGGTGAGGTGTCGTCCAATCATAAAAGCAATCAAGAAGTGAGTAATTATTTTTATGGGCTATTCATCCCCGTGCCACCTCTTTGGTGGCTTAAATTAACATTCATCAATCAATCGAGTAATCATCAGTCTATAATAAATAAATAAATATATAAATGTTTATTCAGGTAAAGTTCACACATACAAGAGGTTTTACAAAAAATGATAGATATATAGATAGAGCTAGTACATACAATACCTAAAGCCACTATTACGCAAAGCGTTTCGGGACAGGAAAAACATTAAAGACTAAAACTTAATACTAATTGAGATTAAAGTATAAAATGTGTTGAGAACAAATAAAAATAAAAAAGGGGGGAACATGGCAGGAAAAGCAGCACAAATACAATTAGGTCGACAAACAGCGTTGTTTAAAAAAAACAGACATATGGGTTGAAAATATAGCGGGTAAGGTAGGTTACAGGGAATTTATTAAGTAGTGCTTAGTTTTTATCTTAACTGGTTGAGAGAGGTACAGTCTTTAACATGATTGGGAAGGTCATTCCACATTCATGGGTCCCATGAGCACCATACCAGAAATAAATACAGTTTTGATATTCCTAGAGTACGACTTAATCAAACTAGAAATGCTCTACAAATCAAGGGACCCAGAATGTGGAATGACCTTCCCAACCATGTTAAAGACTGTACCTCTCTCAACCAGTTTAAGATAAAAACTAAACACTACCTAATAAATTCCCTGTAACCTACCTCACTCCTCTATTGTTAACCCATGTCTGTAATTTTTTTTGTTTAATCAACACTGTTTGTCAACCTATTGTATTTGTGCTGCTTTTTCAGTCATGTTCCCCCTTTTTTTTATCTCTATTTGTATTTGTTCTCAACACTTTTTATTCTTTATGCTCAATTAGTATTAAGTTCTAGATATTAATGTTTTTCTTGCCCGAAACGCATTGCGTAATAGTGGCTTTAGGCATTGTATGTACTAGCTCTATCTATATATCAATCCATTAATGTAACATCACTTGTATGTATGTATGTACCTTACCTGAATAAACATATTTATTTATTTATATTTATTTATTCTAGCAGGGTCCCTTGATTTGTAGAGCATTTCTAGTTTGATCAAGTCGTACTCTTGGAATATCAAAACTGCATTTGTTTCTGGTGTGGTGCTCATGGGTTCTGTTACAACCTTCAATGAAGCTTTTGTGGTCAGGATTGGCATTACAGTTCAGCGTTTTATATATGTATAATACACATGAGAGAATGTGCAGTGACTAAATATCTAACATATTCAGAGATTTGAGTAGGGGTGCCGAGTGATGTCTGGGGCCAGAGTTGGATATTGTCCTAATAGCAGCTTTGTGTTGAGTAATTAGAGGACGTAAATGATTTGGGGTAGTAGAACCCCAAGCACAAATACCATAGTTGAGATATGGATAGATGAGGGAGTAATAGAGAGTCACCAGGGCAGGGCGAGGTACATAATATCTGATCTTAGAAAGAATGCCAACAGTTTTTGAAACTTTTTTTGATATATTTAGAATGTGTCCCTGGAAATTCAGCTTGTGGTCAATGAGAACGCCCAGGAATTTGCCATCTATTTTGTTACAAATTTGGGTATTGTTTATCCTGAGAATTATTTGATGAGAGGATTTATTGCCAAACAGAATATAGAAAGTTTTGTCAATGTTAAGGGTGAGTTTGTTGGCAGTTAGCCAAAGATGGACTTTATTTAGCTCAGTATTCACTGTGGCATTTAGAGCAAGGGGATCAGGACTGGAGTAAATGAAGGTTGTGTCGTCAGCAAATAGAATTGGTTTGAGGTGTTGGGAGGCATTTGAAAGGTCATTAATGTAGATGAGAAAGAGGAGAGGGCCAAGTATGCTGCCCTGGGGAACACCAATGTTGATGGTCTGTACTGTTTGTATGATTTTTCTGCCATGTATGATTCTGTATGATGGTCTGTACTAAACCACTCTACTTTCAAGAATGGTTTAGTACAGACGCTTGAGAGATACTGCACCCTTCAACACTGACTCGCCGTGCACTCAACTCGCTATCACACCATTGCTCGCCAAGTTTCACCTGCAAATTTCTTTATACTACATTCGTCCAAATATATATATTATCTTAGTGTCTGTGTTTATTGTCATCATAATTTACGTAACAAGAGATATGTTACAATCTCAATTAGTATTAAGTTTTAGTCCAAGTTAGTTTAGTTCATTTATTATGCACCCCATACCCATATGTTGTGGGCGGTAGTGGAAAGGGTTACAGAGGCACATAATGGGCTCAGGGACTGAACCCCACAATTCATTTAGCTAAGCAAGTTACAATCTTGATGAGCTAGTTACAAAATTCAATATAGTCCAAGTACACACAGATATCACAATAGCGTGATATATAAAATGAATAAATCCACAATGACCCTAATTAGATTTAGATTTAGATTAGATTTTTTATGCAGGTAAAGGTACATACATAATGTTAGATTTAAAGATAGAGATAGAACAAACAATTAATACCTAAAGCTATGGTCTATGAGGGTTGGAACCTACGCACGGGATGTTCCCAGATGCGCCTTAGTCAACTGTGCCACAACATGGTAAGAAGAATTGCAACCTGGAGTGCTACTGCCCTCACTAGGATCCCGAAGCTTCTCCGAAGCCCAGTCGGGGTTTCACACAATTTCCCCATTGCACCCGGGCTCTGTTAACCAATGTTCTACCTCTATGCCCTTACTTCAATATTGGATATTTCTGTGTGTATTATTGTAAGGGCATAGAGGTAGAACATTTGGTTGACAGAGCCTGGGTGCATGGGGGAAATTGTGTGAAACCCCGATTGGGCTTCGGAGATCCCTTCGGGATCCTAGTGAGGGCAGTAGCACTCCAGTTTGCAATTCTTCTCACCATGTCGTGGCACAGTTGACTAAGGCGCATCTTGGAACATCCCGTGCGTAGGTTCGATCCCTCATCACAACCCTTGTGGATTTGTTCTTTAGTCTAAGTTTTTTCCCCACACCTTGCCCGAAACGCTGTGGGTATTAGTGGCTTCAGGCATTTTATGTACTTGATCTATCTATCTATCTATCATAATCCAACATTATGTTTGTAACTCATTTTCACTGTGTGTACCTTTATCTGACTAAATATCTTATCAATGAGGCGGGGCCAAAGAGCCAACCCCCGCAAGCACAACTAGGTGAGTACATAAGATGCGAGTGTGTACGAAGCGGGTACGATTGTGTGGTGTCAATATTACGTGTGTACGAAACCCGGGATGTAAACACTGTGGGGAGGGTGATGGGTGACGGCTGCAGGTGACGGGTGACGGCTGCAGGTGACGGGTGACGGCTGCCATGGCTGCCACTGTCCTCCGCGCTCTTATTGAAGTCTCCGAGCACTTTCAAGAGTTAATGAGACTGGTAATTATCAGTGAATTAATACTGGTAGCAGTGTGTCATAGCTGGGGCTGGTGGACAGGTGGGGCTGGTGGACAGGTGGGGCTGGTGGACAGATGGGGCTGGTGGACAGGTGGTGGGGCTGGTGGACAGGTGGGGCTGGTGGACAGGTGGGGCTGGTGGACAGATGGGGCTGGTGGACAGGTGGGACTGGGGCTGGTGGACTGATGGAGCTGGTGGACAGGTGGGGGGACGGGCTGGTGGATAGGTGGACTGATGGGGCTGGTGGACAGGTGGGACTGGGGCTGGTGGACTGATGGAGCTGGTGTACAGGTGGGACTGGGGCTGGTGGACTGATGGAGCTGGTGGACAGGTGGGACTAGGGCTGGTGGACAGGTGGGACTGGGGCTGGTGGACTGATGGAGCTGGTGGACAGGTGGGGGGACGGGCTGGTGGATAGGTGGACTGATGGGGCTGGTGGACAGGTGGGACTGGGGCTGGTGAACAGGTGGGGCTGGTGGAGAGGTGGGGCTGGTGGAGAGGTGGGGCTGGCACTGGATGAGAGGTGGGATGGTAGAAAGGTGGGGCTGGTAGAGAGGTGGGGCAATTGCTGGTGGAGAGGTGGGACAGGGGCTGAGCACTGGGCGGCAAGTTGACAGTTGTATTTTGGTGATTTATTCTCTATTTGCTCAATGTTATGTAGTTTTAAGGCAAGATACTTCAGCTCATCATTAAAACACTTAGGATAGGTGGTTTGATAATGGGAATATTTGGAGGTCACTCCCAACCTGAAGGTTGGCATAAGTGTACCAGGGAACTGGAGACCATTAACCTAACCATTAAGTAACCAGTAACCATTAAGTCCAATTAGTAACCTAAAGGAAGCTGCCCAACGATGTCACTCTTATGTCATGCATCTTGCACACATAGTTCATTAGAAAATAAAAATATATTTTATTTTCTCTAAGTTAGATTTGGTTAGGTTTGTTTACAAAAGTAACAGTAATGTACAACAGGTGTTCTTGGGACCTGCTCTGTACTATGCTCCCAATTATTTATTTTTATTTGTTTTATTTATATATACCAAAATTCTTACATTTTTTTAAAGCCACTAGCATGCATACCAATTTGGGCAGGTCCTTAATCCTAATTTTCCCTGGAATATGACTTGCCAAATTGTTTAACAACCAGGTACTCATTCACTACAAAAAAAAAAAAAATCAAAATGTTTATTCAGGTAAAAGTACTGTGCATACATAGAAGATGAGTTACAAACATAATGTTGGATTTATAGATAGAGCTAGTGCATACAATACCTAAAGCCACTAATACGCACAGCATTTCGGGCAAGGTGAGGAGGGGAAAAAAACAAACAATTAGACTAAAGCTTAAGAGGACGTATTGCGCTATTTTTAAATGTTATTTAATATCAACCAAACTTTTTTTACTAGTTGTATATAAGAAGAGCTGCAACTGGTTCTACATTTCAGTATCACACCCTAAATAGAAAGGGAGGTTTTTTTTTTTTGTCAACAATTTTTACACATTTTCAATAAAACTCTACAACCACAATTTTCAAATGAAATCATTTCTATGACACTCATCTATTACATTAGCATATAATAAAAGGATTTGTATAGAAAGGATTATCCAAAATATTTTTAGTTTTACTAATACAAATAGTCAAAGTTCCCCAGAAATATATGCCAATATTTCATGTTTGCAAATACAGTAGGGCTTCAATTTACAATGGTAATCCATTCCCAGAGATGGATCGTAAGTCAAAATATTGTAAGTCGAAGCGATTTTTCCCATAAGAAATAAAGGGAAATGAACTAATCTGTTCCCCACCCTCCAAAATATTAACTTACAAATACATTTTATACTGAATACAAATTTTTTCTCTAACTACAATACAATATTTATGTTTATCTTACCTTAATATAAGTACACACAGACTTAATGGAGGACTCTTGGTGGCGTATGGAAGATGGTGAGGAGGGGAAGGAGAGGTGTTACTGTTTGGAAGGGGAGTCCCCTTCCATTATAACATCAGTCAGTGAAGACTTCTCTGGGGTACACACTCTGGCACGTTTTGCCTGCATACCACTAGGACCTGCTTCTGGCTCACTGCTTGATTTTCTCACTAGAAATCATTCCATTGAAGATTGTGTTTCTCTTCTTTCCAACACTTGTCTGTAGTGAGGAATCACATTATCATTAAAAAGATCAATGCAACAGGCTGTTACAGCTTTATCTACGTGATTCTTTTCAGCAAAACTTTGCAGTCCTTCCCATACTGCACACATTTTCTTAATTAATGAGGAAGGCGCCGCCGCCGCCTCTGAAGATTTATTGTACTGCCTAGCTAGTTCAACAACACTAGGACCATTTTCATGTTCACATATGACCTCTTGTTTTTCCTCTATGGTCATTCTTACATGTCTTTTCATATGTTGAACCTTACCACTGACTTTCTTGGGACCCATGGCGTGATATATAATAATCGGTTTTATGTTCAAAAAGCAAAAAATCACCACAAAAACGGAATTTCTTATAGGCGTGATCGTCAATAAACAGGCAGCTCTAGTAAACTGAGGCAGGTTGGCCCGTGTGACCAGGAACCACATGCTTGGTCGACCCAAACTTGTATCAACAAATATTGTTAGTCGATGACACTATCGTAAGTCGAGTCGCATTTTTCGATCAAATTTGCATCGTAACTCGAAATTATCGTAAGTCGTGGTGCCACTGTATTTATAAAATCAATAAACTTAGGAATAAAATGTTCTATAAAGTTATTAGAGACATTAACTATACATATAAGGTGTAAATTTCATGTAAATTGAAAAACAAATGAAAGAGGAGAGTTAATTTTGTTACTTGACAATAAATGAGATCAAACATTTTGCCACCTGTGGTTGAAATTGACTTCGACCAATTTCCTCCAAAATTTGCACCCTTACAGATAGGCTTACGTTCTATAAGATGTATAGGTTTCATGCAAATCGATTGATAACAATATGAGAAAAAAATTCGAGAAAAAAATCTTTTTTTTTTTTTTTAATTTTGGGCATAAAACTAAATATTAAAATACTTTATTATATGCTATTGTGATAGCTTAGTCATAGACATGATTTGAGTTGACACTTTTGTTTGATGTTAATTTTTAACCATTTTGAAAAAATTTCGACACATAATTTAATATTTTTTTTTCTCCTTTCCTATTTATGCTGAGACTTGGGCCAGTTGAACCAAATTTTATATACGACTAGTCAAAAAATTTTGATTGAACTCAAACCAGTTTTCATTTATTGCATTTTTCCGCAATACACCCCTTAATACTAATTGAGATTAAAGTATAAATTGTGTTGAACATGGAAAAAAAAGGGGGGAGGGGGAACATGGCAGAAATCAGCAATTATACAACTTGGTCAACAAACAGTATTGTTTGAAAATAGCAAGACATAGGTTGACATTTAGGGGGTAAGGTTACATGGAGTTTATTAGGTAGTATTTAGTACTATGTGAACAGAGGCTACAGTTAAGGATTGCCACCCAGTCAATCTTCCCTGGCCATGATGCGAACCTAAGCCAAAGTGCCCGCGAAGTGCCGAGCGAGTGCTTTGCCACTGCGCCATGGGAACTGCTTAGCTGCTGCTTAACACTTAAACTGCGTAACGCGCCTGCAGGCCTATGTCTCGGGTTCGCAACGCAAACTATGTCTGGGTATTTTTATTTTTAGCGTTCCATTCGAAACTCCCACGGCTACGTGGGGTTCACATCAGCTTCCTCAGGACTCTTGTAAATAGACGCCATCTTTAAAAAAAATCGTGGGCCACATTCCCAGGTGTGAGAGCCTCAGTACTGAGTGAGCAACCAAGGCTGGCACACACAGCATGAGCTCACAGCACTGCTGTTCAGCTTGTGACCACAGCATCGCCTAATAATGTCAAAATATATATATAACTTGTATTATTTAGCCATGATAGTATTACAGAAGAGCCTGAATGTGATAATGACTGTGTACAATGTTCAAATATCAGTGATTCAATGCTGTTCACGATGTTCACAGCGCTAGCTACAGCACCACAGCATTATTTCGTCCATCTAGGATTTTTCAAATGACTTCATAGGTTCCTTTACAAAATAAACTTGGGGTCAGTTATTAGTTTACAGGATTTAGTGACCAGTATTGTGATAACAGCAGGATTTTGGTGATAATTAGCATTGTGCATAGTATTGTGGGAGGAGGAATTGTGGTGAGGGAGCGAGGGAGAGAATCGAGGTAGCCTCACTGCGTGTGTGGCCGCCACTCTTGTTTTGCTAATCATACTAGCTTAGTGGTTCACTATGGTTATCTTGAGGTTATCTTGAGATGATTTCGGGGCTTTAGTGTCCCCGCGGCCCGGTCCTCGACCAGGCCTCCACCCCCAGGAAGCAGCCCGTGACAGCTGACTAACTCCCAGGTACCTATTTTACTGCTAGGTAACAGGGGCATTCAGGGTGAAAGAAACTTTGCCCATTTGTTTCTGCCTCGTGCGGGAATCGAACCCGCGCCACAGAATTACGAGTCCTGCGCGCTATCCACCAGGCTACAAGGCCCTACCGAACGGGCCTAAATATAATACGGAATATACCCATGTGCAAATGGTGAACACATTTGCACATGGGTATATACAATGTATGTATATAGCCCATGTACATATGTGCATAGTATTGTGGGAGAAGGAATTGTGGTGAAGGAGCGAGGGAGAGAATCGAGGTAGCCTCACTGCGTGTGTGGCAGCCACTCTTGTTTTACTCATCATACTAGCTTAGTGGTTCGCTATGGTGAACACATTTATACATGGGTATATACAATGTGTGTGTATATAGTGTAATAACAGCAACAGGAGTATGTTGGGAGGAGCTATTATGATGAGGGAGGTGACGTAATCCAACCCGTTCTCGCAAATTTAATAAGTCAATATTGACTTATTAGTTGTGTGCATAGGTGACATACTAAACATAATAGTTTCCCT